TTTATAGAAGGAACACATAGGGCCCAAGAGTGTAAGTTTTTCTTTACTGTTCATAACTGATTATTCACTTGTTATTCATAACCAACACGACACATCACTCATTATTATATTTTGGGACCATAAATTACAAAGTGATTTATTTCATGTGAGGTGATAAAATCAGATCTTTTCACAAACCCATGTTGATATTGTCATGATAGCTAGCTAGCTAGCTAGGAAAAATATATAAACTTAATTTGATATGCATCATCTCCCCAGAGCACAGTATTATCTGTCCAATGATTCTAAAAGGTTTTTCAGCTTTTGGCCAGGGCTGCCTTGGAGATGTTTCAGGTTGTTCTGGTAGAGCTGTTTATTAAATCACAGTCAGTTCAGCCAGCAGCTGCTGGCTTCCACCTCTTGCAAACTCCTGCTGGGACTGCCCGCTCTCCCACATAGCCAGTCTGTCGGGATCTGGCTCACTAAATGGCTCCAATATCAGACTCCACTTTGCCCTGCAAAGGACAGGATCCAGAGCCTTAAACTCTCTTTAGAGAGAGCTAAATCCCTCTCAGAATTTTCATATTATTTTGGAAACAATTCCTTGCCACTGGTTGTGCTAAAACTGAAGTTCTCTTATATCAGCACTCCAGCATCTAGCTCTTTTCCATGCTCCTTTTGACAAAGCCACACAGTTCTGAAGCATCATATTTAGGGTGATAAGCTCCTTTGCATAGAAAGAGACAACAACATTTGTATGCTTAGTGTTGTTCATCCTACCAAAACCAAAACAAAACAAAACAAAAATTGTGAAAAATACTGGTCGAAGGTCCAGAAGTGCATCAACATACTGCCAAGTTTTACCACTGATACACAGCAGCTATTCAAGATTATCTGAAGGGGTTACAACCAAATATCCTGAGGGACCACAGGTTGTATGTGTGTCAGCAGTGTGCCTTTGCAGCAAGGAAGGGCAGCAACATACTGGGCTGCCTTAGCAAGGGTTCAACCAGCAGGACAAGGAAAGTGGCTGAAGGGAAAGCTAACTGAAGTCTACTGCTATGTAAAGGAAATTTACAGAAGAGACACTGAAACACTCTTCTCAAAGGTGCAAAGGGCAAGAGGGAATTTCACAAGTTGCAGGGAGGAAAATTTCAATTGTGTACAGGGGAAAAAAATCTTCAAATTGAAGGTGAAACATGTCATCCTAGCTGCAGAATCCCCCTCTTTGGAGATTTTCAAAACTCAGCTGCACATGGCCTGAACAAGCTGCTTCTGTTTTGAAGTTAGTTGGGCTTTGAGCCCAGCTCAGGGAGTTGAACTAGATGATCTCCAACGATTCCTACAAATCTAAATTCCTCTAATTCTGTGATTCATGTTCCCATTCAGAAGAACAGGAAATATGAGACACTTTTGCAAGGAACCATCAAAATTTTCATTTGATACTATAAGACTCAATAGTTTATGCTAAAATCACCTTTTGCCCAGGATCTGAGTTGCCAACATTTGTGAGGCAATTATGTATCATCATATTGCATCATATCATCATATTGCAGCATTATGTATCACATAATGAGTGGCAGCAAAAGCTGAAGCTAATCCCATTGAATGATGAGACAAAGAACACCACAAATTCAATTTTAGAAAGCATTCATCTTTTGTAATTCCTGGAAGATTGTGTTGAATTTCTTGTCTTTAATGGAATCCAGATCTGTTTTCCCCTTAACCAAGTATCTTGTTTGATGTATAAGACAAAATAACCCGAATTCCAAGCATAATGGCCATCCTTGATAGAAAGAAGCTTCACCAAGAAAAAAAATCATATATATTTTATATATGATCTTTCAGATACAGAAACAAATGCAAAATAGCCATGTTAAAAAAGAGCCTTATATTTCACTCAAATTCATGCAATTCATTTTGTCAAAAAACTATGCAGATAAACAAGAGTATCGATAAACACAATCTTTAATCTATATGACAGAGACAAATAAAAGAAATTCACATTGCTTGTTTTATAGTTTGAAATAGCAAGCCTTGGTATTGTGGATAAATAATGTCTAGATGATCTTTGTCCATCAAATACTTACATAACTCATCTGAGGATATACATTTTCTCAGTAAATTTATTTTTTCTACAACAGAAATTGTTGGTTTTGTTTTTAGAATTTGACTTAAAATATTCACTATGTCATCAAAATCTTTTTAATTACCATTTTAATACAAAATATATTGAAGGTGCTTTGACTAAATTCATTTTACTAAGAAACTAACTCTAGGAACCACTTAATCCTGGAAAAATTAGATGCACCTGTGACATGCACTTGCACTTTTCACATCTGAAAATCTGTATTTGTTTATGCAAATCAATCAGAGCACAATCCCCCCAAATTCATGCTTGAAAATGCAAAGTTTGTCTATGGCTGAAAGTTGAACACTTGGAAGTACTATGGAATGTGTCTGGTAACATTTACATCTTTGTTAATTAGACTTCCAACTAAGAACAGATTCTGATGAAAATTCATATAAATAATAGCATGTAAAATTATTTCATTATGAAATTTTGCCTTCAAAAATTGCATGATTCTAGTTATTTCTCTAGTTATGTTTTACTTCAGTCTCATAGTACCACTCTAGCACAGAAATGTATTGATCCAGTCTGACTAATGTATTTGACCTTTTTTATTTGATACAGAGAATGAAACCTGCTCAACTCTGTCGGAGTTTGCTTTTTCTAACTCATGGTTGATAAAATTCTGTTGTCGCATGGCCTCGAGGCCCACTTATAAAATTTCTTAGGCACACAGGAGTGAATGTTTCAAGTCCTTCAGTCAACAGGATACAAGTCAGAAGAATATAATTAGCGTCTGAGGAAACAAGGAACTGAGAAGTATAGGCTATCTAATCAAAAATGTGCATGTCGATTTTTATCTCAAAACCATAAATCCCAGATAGGAATAGGAGTTATACATACAAATACCTGGTATTGCCAACCTTTGTACACTAAATGTACAATGAATGTACACTAAATGAGCAGAGATGCAGGAATAAAATAATTCAAAAATAAATTAACATAAAAGACAGACATCAAAATAAATGTCCCAACCCCTGGACTTTTGTGCCACTAATACACATCTGTCTTAAAACTGAACTTCACATTCATGAAGACTAAATATTTTTTACATGAAAGTTGAAACATTCCTGTAATCTTTTTTGTGCTGAAAATCAAATGCACAGTATTTAAGAAAAACACTATGTATCATAAGGTGTGAAATACAGGTGTTCGAGCTAGAAAGTGAGTATATGGTTTACATACAGCCACTGGAAAAGCTTTGAAAATCCGGGTCATTCCAAGTTAGGGCCGGACATGGTATAAGTCCTCAGGGCACTCAGCTTCTACTGATGCGGCCCAGGATGCTACCTGTGCAGGGCCAGGGAATGAAGGAGGATCAGTGGCAAGGGGCTGCTGTGACAGGGATCATGCTGCCTAGCAAGGCTCTCCTCACATTGGAGACCCCATGCCTCAAACACAACAGAGTTTCTTAGGGAGAAAGGCTTTGCCAGTACCAGTCGGGGGCAAGCAACAAGAAGTGGGATGATCAACTGAAGGTATTTCACACATTGAGAAAAGCAACAGATCTGGATCCTCTGGCCAGCAAAGCCAATGCCATGATGCTGTGCTTGGTGGCTCCAGCACACCTGGGTGCAATCCTCTTCACCTGGATGGTACAGCTCCAGCAGCAAGATATACCCAGCAAATGTGACCTCAGCCTGTTGCAGCATCTACGCAGGAAGTGCATGTTCTGCAAGGGAATAGCTTGATCCTCCTGTGATAACCTACGCTAAACCTGTTTACTGAGTCTTTAAAGAAAACTCGTAAATAGTTCTCTGGAAACCTGTAATCCTAGAGGCTTACTCCTGTGTTTCTCTAACTGAAATATTAAAAATTGATTGACTTTGAAAAGGAAATATTTTATTGATTGATCTTATGCTTGGATTTTGTAGAATAATTTGTGTAAGTGGGAGATTTAATTATAAATCTTATTTTGAAGGGTTTATGACTTGCCTGTTTCAATTCTCTCCAGGATCAAAACTTGTTAGACATTTTGCCTTGAAGAAATAAAACCATCTCAAAAAATGAGAAATAGAGTGAGAGAAAGAAAAAAGAATGGTGTAGCTTTCTTTAACTTCAGGAACATATTTTGAACAAAATATATGGAATGCTGAGATTTGTCAGTGAGACCTTATTTCTTCCTATAAATTGCTGTCTTTTGAAACAGAATAACTTGAATTATTAAAAATGCCAGTACCTATGCACAAGTCCAGGCAGCCACTTTCTACATTCATAATTCACTCTGGGTAAAATATACATAACATTTAAACATAAAAATACTTGGTCAAATTGTGAATTTCTCTCAGCCATTCTGTAATTAGGTAAATTTCAAGCAGAATTTAAGGGTATATCTTTTTTACTGACACAAATGACTCAGTGAAAAAATACCTGGTTTATTTTCATGTTAATTAAAGTGTGACCTGGTGTGAAAAGGATGCTCAGGTGCTCAAGAACAAAGTGTAGAGGTTCATATGCAGTATATGGATATGTCTTATCCACATACTGTCCGGTGTCTTGTTTCAGCCTATTTTGAAGGGTTTATGACTTGCCTGTTTCAATTCTCTCCAGGATCAAAACTTGTTAGAGTGTCTAACAATCTACTGGCTCAACCTTCCTCAAGTAAATCACATCTCACGATTAAGGTCATATGGATGAGGACTTGCCTTTTCCAAAAGTTATATATATAAGGAATGAAAGTAGTTGCTCCTCTTATGCAGTATGCAAAGGAATACTTGTTCCTGCAGTTTTCAGAAACTATGTAATACTTCTACATAATATTTCTACATTAGCAATTGTTTAGGTGTATGGAAAGTGTTACACATATATACATAACAGGCTCTTGAACTTCTAACGGTGGACATGAAAATATCCAAAAATAGTAATTCTTCAAAAAGACAAAGTATCCTACCTGTGTATGACCAGTCGATCTCTTCAACCAATTTCCGTTGTTGTCTATAGTATCCGTACACCAAATCTGCAAAATATTAATGAGTTTACAATATTAAAATTGGGACACTAACAAAAATAAGAAGTGTAGATGACCATCCTTGCCAAAGAACAAAACAGCCACTCGCCTTTGTCTTAGACTTTGAATTATAAGAATTCGTAAGTGGAATGTGATTAGCCTCATCATTCAGGCCACAAATAAAGCAAACAGAAGAACACAAGGTCTTCTTTTCATATCATATCTATTTTCTTTCCTATTTTCTATTTTTCATCATAACCATATATTCCTTTGTAAAATTAATACAAATAGAACTAGACATTGCACTTGAAGAATGGTTTCTTCTATATGGTTTCCTGAAAGAGCCACTTGGGAATATTTTGAATTCAGTGAAAGCTAAATACTGAATTCATCATGGTCAAGACATTGTTTAATATATGTAAATTGGGTATACAGGTTTTCTGAGACTGTCATATCTACAGTCATAATCTTAAGGAGCAGTAAGAAATTCTAAGGAAGCACAATATAATCTGCTTCAGCAATAACTGCAGCACACATATGGAATTGTCTCCATGAGAAAATAACACAGAATTCTTCTCATATTTTGCAGTAAATGCCATTCCATGAAACAGTGTCGATAGTATCCATTTCCCCTTTTCTTTAAATGTTTTTCTCTTCCTTTCCCACTACATGCCAGAAAGTCTTTTGCAACACTTACACAACATTCGTTCATAATTAAGATTTCTGCAGTAAGATCAAACCCTTTATGTGACTAGTGTAACTGAAAGCAGTGGCAAAGGGATTTGCATGTACTACAATTGTCTGTGGACCATATTTTCAGTCAGTGTGCGTTGTTCCTCTCCCTTTAATTAGTTATGCAAAAGTAAGTTGTTTAAGTTCTGATTCACAGGTGTTAGCTGCTGTCTCCAGTTTCCTCCTTTATCCATTGTCCTCCTAATTGTTACTTCAAACAATCGCTTAAGCATTCATATGCTAACGAAGCAGGGCTTGGGCGTGAGAGTGTCCCACCACTCTTTAAATTCCACTTGGAGGTCTGATAGACAAGGAGTGATAGCTTCAATGAACAAGAAAAAAAGGGGCAAGGTTCACTTTTTTGGTGCATTACACACGTATAGACCCAGTAAATCTTACGGAAAGCCTATATAAATGCCAAAAGACTTTAGGCGTTCATACACCTTCTTTTCTCTGCTATTCAACTATTGTGTTTGCATAGTCTGTTCACAGCACACTCACAGACTTATGCGTTCTCACATTTGCAGTGATTGCCAGTGGTTTGGGTATTGCCCCTTTCTATTAAAAATACATGGCCAAAGGGCAGGCGGAGAGAAAGCAAACCTCATTAGGGGAGGGAAGCAATTGAAAATCACAGCTAGCAAAGGAAAAGTTGTACATTTGCGTGTTAGTGTATGGGCACAAGTCAATGCAGTGATTCTTCTCCTGAACTACCAGTGTAATATCACAGTCATGCATTGTATAAAGTGTTGTTGCGTAAATGCTCCATGTTAACCAATTGTACAGAGACAAGACAGAAGGAAATTATTTTATTTTGAAGTGAACAAAGTGATACTCATTCTTCTCTTGGTATATCACAGTAGATACCTGTTTAAATAATATATTTATATGCCTTGCATTTGATTTAAATGATAAAAGTAATAATGTGAAAGTCTTCACAAAAGAGGAAGAAAAACTGCAAATTTGCATTTTGGCAGATGAATCTACCATATTGATACTTGGACTTTTAAAACTATCAGCTTGAGAGACAGCTGACCCTTGTCACACTGTCTTCAGCCAGTGCCTAAAGTAGTTTTAATTCTACTGGTTGAGGAGCTGCTTTATGAAGAAGAAAAAAAAATCCTTCATGTTCTCTTTTACTTCCAGGCTTTCAGGATGCTGGTGAACATGTTTCTGCAGGTTGTTGATTTATTCATAGAACAAGGCAGTTCAGTTGCAGGATCATGTGTTAACTGACTGTATGGTTATATTTCCATGCAAGTCAAGGAGATGTGCAAGATATCATTAATACTTTTTGTCCCCTTTTTCTAACCTCTTTCAAAGCCAGAGTTTTCTGCATGTGGCTGTGAGACCTGTTTCCTTTTATATTCTGTCCAGTTAGCACATACTTCAACCCCAGAGGCCCATAAAGTTATGAAAAAAGGCAACAAAACCTCTTCTGTTCATAAGGTGTGACTGAAATGACTTATGGCTTACCTTCTCTCATGTTCCACTCTACAGTTATGGGAAGAAAATGAAGAGGGCTTTCTGGTTAAAGCATAGTACTGGGAGTAATCAGATCTGGTAGGTAATTTTTCGCATTAAAAAAATATAAATAACCAGATTCTCTTCCTCCTGATATGATAATTCTTTTGTGAAAGAAAGAAACACCCAAGTCCTCAATGTGTATTTATTTATACCTCCCCCCAAAAAAATCTAAAAATTTAAGTAAAGAAATGTCTGAATGTTTGACTGAGAGCCTCTTAGTTCACACTCTGTGCCACAGTAAATGAATCAAAGAAGTGGAAATGGAATCCTAAGTCTCTGAATTTTGTCAGGGAAAATCCTCTGACAGATGCTAAGGAAACAAGCCTCAAGTATCCACCAGAGATCCCTCTGTAATAAAAAGGGTATTCTGAGGACAGCGCAGAATAGACGCAAGGCACGTTTTGGGACGCAGCACTCCACATGATGTGTTGCCAGGCATGATTATAGCTCAGGTGCAGTCTGGGGATGCAATGCACACCTGCCTGCTGTAATTTTACCAGACCTTTATGCTTGTCTGCTTTGCCAATGTGGTGTCAGGGATACCAGTTCCTAGAACCAAGAGGTCAAAAGGAGAACTGAAAGCTAGTTTAGCCTCCTCTCAGCCTAAACTAAGGTCTGACAGTGCGTACAATGCTTTTCCCATAATGTCTGTGTCTTTGGTTTAGCTCCTTCCATTTATAGGAAGATCATAGGACCACAGATCATAATATAGATTAAACTTTATTTCACACAGCTTTATTTCCTTAATGTAAATAAGCTATGATTTACACTAATAGAAGAACAAAAATATTCAGACCACAACCTGCTAACAGTCTAAAAAATCTCATTGAAAAGAAGTGTCAATAAATTCTTTTATAACAATGAGAAGTATTGGTGTGAATAGAGTATCTCTTCCACAGATTTATTTATTTTGTTAGTGCTATCTGTAAAATCCTTAAGAATACCAAAGTGATTTAATAGCCCACCTTCATCTTTTCATATATTCTTTTTTTTCTGAAAGTCAACATGTATCAAAATCTTTTGTCAGGATGGGTCTGAGAATACTAACAGTCTTAGAGAAAAAAAAATAAAACAGAGTTCCTTTTGTGTAGACTTCTTTTTTAGGCATCAATATATGTCAGGGTATTTAGAGGATCAGTTCTATTTATTACCCTGCAGTGTAGGTTGCTCATTCTGATACAGACCGAGAAAACAGTGAGACTTTCCCTAAACTACTGATTCCCTGAAAGATTGATTGGGTTAATTTAAAAGTACATATCCCTGAGCATCAGAGGACATGGCATACTGGTTGTTTAACCTGTCATAACTTCACAGTGAAAATGTAATAGATTAAAAGAATAAACCCTAAAGCATCAGGTAAGATTTATAAATCACACTGGAATACAGTTTTTTAGTGTATTTGCATACAAAACATGGAAAGTAGTAGGAATTGTCCGGTGTGTCATTCTACCTGTGATCCCATACCCCTAGGTATCACCTGAAGACAAAGCACAAAAGTTTTATACACTTCTAGACTTTCTCTTTTTGGACAACCACCAGAGGTTAGCTGTAGCATTGACTATGTAAAGTTTTAAGGCTGTGAATTTATGAAGCATGCAGATGCCTGCTCACTGAAACTTAGATGCAAAAGAGCTTTCAGATGGGAAACTGGTACTTGTCTTTTCAAAACAGATATTTCTCAACATGCATGGGTGACCAAAATTAAGTGCCTGAAGCTTTTGGGCTAAATACACAGATACCTCAATAATTGTGTACCAGGAACATAGGATGACCAACTTGAACTTAAAAATATTAAATGGATTTTAGGTATCTGAAGAAAAATAAGAGATTTAGGAAGACGATAATCATGCTAAAGATATTATATTATTGTCTGATGTACGTATTGAGGCAAATTGGGTTTTATTAGAAGAAACAAGTATTTTAGCAAGATTGAAGGAAATTTTATGATTTTGATTTCTGGAAAATTTAAGGAATATATTGCACATAATTAGGAATAAAATATGTGTTTTGCCTCTTGTATTTGGTAACCAAGTAAAAAAATATTTACAATCTCCTTTTCAACAAACTGGAAACTTGGTACAATAGACACTTCAAAATTGCAATGATAGGAAAATAATTTTTTTTAAGTCCTGTACTAGACTCCAAAAGCTCCACAATATCATTCTCTAATACCTTCCCACTCATGAACATCTACAGATCAGTGAAGCACTACAGTTTTAGTAATATCTACCTAGATCTCTCATGAGTAGTCTTTATACTCATGAGTAGACTTTATGCAAGTCATCCCAAAGGAACCTTTACTAAAATATATGCTATTTAACACAGTAAATAATGTAAACAATATAACAGAAACCTTGTGAAAATAAGCATAGATATAGATTTGTCAGAAAAAGTATATGGCTATATATATATATAAATTGAGCATGTGTATTTATATATACACACACAATTTTTGTACATACAGATATTGGAATTTCTTGAAATTGCATCAGGTTGTGAAACTCATGTGTACCTTTCCCTTCCTCTTATTGTAATCAAATACATACAAATCTTTTGAAGAAGAAAAGGAAATATCTCATGACTGCTAAAAAATACAGGAAGAAGTATGTATGTAAACCACTGCCACACTAGAAGAAGCACACAAAGGCAAACAAAGGAACTAAATTAGTTATTTCCTAAAAAAAAAAAAAAAAAACCCAAACTATTAATTAAGCTTCTATTAATTAAGCTTCTATTTACGGGGGTTTGGC